TTATTAATTCCCTGGGATAACCTCGATCGCGTGAAATATATTATTTGGTTCAAGTGATTGGGCAGATATGATGAGTATAAATTTTTTTCAGGTTAAAACTTAATTCGTTTTTAAGGAGAAAAAATGGGTGCCATGATCGCGATCGAGTAAGCAAACTATGCAAAACAACTTTGTGAGGACCGCAAATCGATTCGAATAATGTGCAAAAAGTTTTTTCACCTGAGTATCTGGAGTGTACCACTAGGTTAATGTGGTGTTATGCTCCCCTTCAAACACTCCAGGGTGTCGACTCAAAGTCGAAAACAAAATTCCCTGACTTTCCCTGACTTTCCAGTCGGATTTCAGAAAAATTCCAGTCCACAAAACTACGTTATTTTAACCTAAGAAGCTACAACGTGATGAGCTTTATTATACCCAGTGCTGTGTTCCTAAAATTTGAGCTAAGTAGTCGCACCCAATATTGACCGGCGCCCTTAAAATATAAATCTGCCTAAAATAACGATGCATTCGCCCGCGACGTTGATGGCGTTGTTTCACATAGTGTATTATCTAGTTTATATAGTACGTTGCAAAACATTTGCACTTTATCGAGCAGCACCGTACTCTACAGGTGGTTAAGTCTCTTTACCCTTTCTTCTTGAAATTATGATTAGTTCCATTATGAAAGTTCCGTCAACATTTTCCCAGTACTATCATTTGTGTTTTCTAATTTATCTCATATTTATCTTGCTTGACTTTCTCCTAATTTCAGGAAAAACCTTGAACAATTTTTAGAATTTTCCTAAACATTCGTGGGCAAAGCAAAATTTCCAAAACTATCAGTTTGTTATCAAATCAAAACCTCCTCAGTAAGAAGCCCTTACTGCGCTAACTGCGCAAAGGCGCAACGAACTTTTGTTTCTCCGAGGCACTCGGTCCCCCTTCTTAAGTTACAAGTACTAGGCCAATTAAGGGGAAGATTATGGATATGATGATAGTTAAAATCAAAAAAAAAACAAAAAATAAAAATACATAAATATGGATTGTTTTTATACGTTTTACTCAGAACACCTCTGGCGTTTTACAAATCATTACCATCAATCGTCGCTACGCAAATCTTTGAAATAAGAACCAGAGATGTTTGTGTTGTTACAACTGATGTTACCTTTGGGAACCTTATTAGGCAATACATTTACTGTTTCAGTGCCACGTTTTCACGTTTATAACAGGTTCTTGCTTTAAACGTTCCCAAGAACTCGTGACATTACTGCCGAAAGTATTAAATCAGTCCAGAAAATTTAACATTTTCGGAAGTGAGTCTATCTTTAAGCGATTCAACATTTTCCCTACTGAACTCAAGCTTTTCTGAAGTTATTAAATATGCTATGAGCTGAATACATGAATCCAGTGCTTCCAATGTTTCCGAAGTGATTCAAAACTTTTGTAAAGTTCAGTACTGTTTGAAGTTATTCTGTTGGCTGCTTTTTTTCTGACATGGTCCAGTACTTGCCAAAGTGATCCTAATCTTTTCTCAAGTTATTCAGTACTTTCTGAAGGGATTCTTAACTTTCCAAAGTGATTCTAAACTTTCCTAATGGAATGTAATGTCAGTATAGACAGATCTCGTTTTTGGAAACGTAACTACAGTGCACTCTCTACGACTCGAGGTACCTATAGAATTATCGAGTTATAGAATAACAATCTCATACAAATTCGCTATCTCAGTAGCCATGACACTCATTTTTATGATGGTTATATAACTGTATATCGAGTAACTGGACATCGAGTTGTGAAGAGTTGGCTGTTCTTCATCTATGTTGCCAAAGTCGAGATCTTTTTCGATGTGTCACAATTGAGTAGCTTAGCGATAATAATCAATACTCCCTGAAGTAAATCCTGCTGAGAAACTGTTGAAAAATTCCTGGAAGTGAGGAGGATCTCTCGGTTTTTGACGGTCTAATTGACCTACATTATGAAGCGGCCGGCGCTGTTATTGTCTATCCTAAAGTATGAGATCAGCAGTTTTTACACATTGCAGATGCATGCTCGTCCAACGCATCATTTTTTGCTTCTCTGATAGGTGATCTGGCAATAACGGAGTAGCAACCGCGAGCGGATTTTTTTTTTTCTTTATTTAAGAGGTTTTTAGCCTAAAGGCTGGTTCGCCTCTGAGAACCGCGAGCGGTTAATCATTCTCATGCTCAATTATGTCTGTACTATTTGAAGTGATTCAGTAGTTTCTGAAGTTTTTCTGCAGTAATTCAGCACTTTTCAAACTGATTCCGAGATTTTCTATCGTTTTTCAGTACTTTCAGAAGAGATTTTGAACTTTTTTTTAATGATTCTGTGATGCCCAAAGTTATTCCGATTTTTCTGAAGTGAATAAATATTTTCTGAAGGGATTCCAAACTTTTCTGAAGTTATTACAAAATGATCTCAGCTCTTGAAGAAGTGATTGCAAACTTGAGAGAATTGATAAAGTACTTTCCGAAGTTTTGTGAAGATGTTCAGTTCTTTCCGGATTTTTTTTTTTAGTTTTTACGAAAGCGATTACAAACTTTCTGGCAAGATTAAGTATTATCCAAAGGGATTCAGAAATTTTCTTAAGTCACTCAATACTATCCGAAGAATTTCAAAGTTTTTTCTGAAGTGATTAATTATCCAAGTAACATTGTAAGTTTTATTGAGGTTTTAAAGCACTCTACAAGTCTAAATCATGGTCTACAGTACCCTCATAAAACCCAAATTGTTACTTGGGACTTTCAGAATTGATTTCAAACTGTTCAAAAGTGATTCAGTTCTTCCTTAAGCGATTCAGTACTTTCGGAAGTGATTACAAACTATCTGGAATTATTCAGTACTTTTCGGAGCGATTCCAAACAGTTCTGAAGTGATTCAGTACTTTCTGAAATCATTTAGTGCTTTGCGAAGTGATTATGAACATTCTGAAGCGATTCAGTATTTCCGACGTGAGGCTGAACGTTTCTGAAATGATTCTGTGCATTCCTAGCTAATTTAATCATTTTCGAAGTTATTCGGTTCTTGCGGAAATGATTATAAACTTTCTGGGATGATTCAGTACTTTCCAATGTGAATCCGAAATTTTCTGAAGTGATTCAATACTATCCCAAGAGATTCCGAGCTTAAAGTGGTTCAACACTTTCCGAAGTGATTCAGTGCTTTCTGAAATAATTCAGTACTTTCCGAAGTGATCATGAACTTTTCCAAAGTGATTCCGAACATTACTGAAGATATTCGGTGTTTTCCGAAGTGATTCCGAACATTCTCAAGTGATTCAATTATTTTCAAAGTGAACTTTTCGCAATGATTCAGTGCTTTCCAAAGTGATTTCGAATAGTTATTAAGTGTTTTGGGTCTTTTCTGAAGTTATTCAGTACTTTGTGAAATGATTCTCAACATTTATGAAGTGATTCAAGACTTTCTGAAGTGATTCAAGACTTTCTGAAGTGATTCAAGACTTTCTGAAGTGATTCCACACTGTTCTAAATCGATACAGTACGTTCAGAAGTGATTTCGAACATTTCTAAAGTGATGCAATACATTCCTAAATGATTCAGTAGTTTCCAAATTGATTGAAAACATTTCTGAAGTGATTTAGCACTTCCGATGTAAGTCCAAACTTTTCTGAAATGATTCAGTACATTCTGAAGTGATTTCGAACTTTTCATTAGTTATTCAGTGCGCTCTGAAATGATTCAGTACTTTCTGAAGAGATTCCGTATTTTTATGAAGTGATTCAATTATTTCCTTAAGTGATTCAGTAATTTTTTAAGTGATTCCGAACTATTCTCAAGTGATTCAGTACTTTCTGAAGTTATGTCGATCTTGTTTATATGATTTCAAACTATTCTCCCATACCTCACCGTGAAAGAATTCCATCACCGTCATGACAAAATTTCTATCTTACGCCACTAAGTAGCGCCAACTTTTGTCCGCCAATCAGGATTTGCACCGTTAGTGGTTAACCTCAATTAGATGAACTTTTGGACAGTTCAGTGGTATTATTTAACTTTTTTCCCTCGATCATGGACACAGCCCGAGCAAAGTCTGAGATCAAATTGCAATCTAAATTTGATGTTGTGATTTCGCTGATAATGATAACTCAGGTTGCTGTCGTTTTGGTCGTTTTAACGGTTAAAATATCAAAATTGATAGCAAACATATCTTCTTGTGACATCACATTGAAAACTATTTCTGCTATCAGTGAGAGCAAACTGAATACTCAATTTGATATCAATTTTTCATGTTGATAACAAAACAAGTATTCAATTTGATGTTATGCTAAGGCAATGAAGTCAAACCCGCAACAACATATTTTTGTACAGCAAAATGAAAACAAAATTTATCAATTGCATAAACTGAAATCAAATTAGGATTTCAGTTTGATGTTGATATCAAAACTGGATTTCAATATGCTTTCATTTTGATGCTGATGCTATTTTTTTTTTCAAAAAGATATTCTGCATTATTACATTAGGCGTTGCCATGCGATAGGGTACATCTTTGAAGATTTTCTGGATACCACGCAAATATTTGAAAACATCCCAACTGATACTGCAAACACTATCCTTGAATGCATTATGCAAAATATACAGCCCACAGCTTCCCAGATCTATCAGCTTCTCGCCACCTTTTTGTACCTCTTGCTTCAATTCACATTGGGCCCATCCATGGACACTTGCAGCAACTTGTTCGAAGAGATACCGGCAAGGGCGTCCATAAACGCAGCGAGTAGATCTGATGCCCGGGATCTTCCCAAAAACGTTGACGTCATGCACTGACAAAATTTCAAAGATTGTTTTATGTGTCCCACACATAATTTTTAGCAATGTGATCAACATTATTTTTTTCCCTGACCTACACTAAAATTCCCTGACATTCCCTGACTTTCCAGATCATAAATAGAATTCCCTGACATTCCCTGACTTTCCAGGTTTTTCCAGGTAGTCGACACCCTGCACTCTAGCGATACGAACCACCCATGCATTTAAATCCATTACCTGTTCGATTGAAACTGCGATATCTTCAGGCTGTTCTCCAAGCGCTTCTCGCACTAAGTCTTCCGTTTTGGCAATGCTATCTGCAGTTTCTACAATATCCTTTGTTTCGTCAATTTTTTCGTTTTCACCTGAAGCTTCTACTTCTTCTTCTATCTGCACGGTTTCTCCTGCGGTAAAATCAAACAACTGTGGTTCTGGTGCTAAGTTAGAAACAGTTGTGTTAATAACTTCGACAACTGATTCAATCGATTGGACTTCTGGCGATTGTACTGAATCTGCAACGAGTTCTGCTGCACTTGGATTATGTTTTTCCTCAGATTTTTTATCACCTTTTATGTAGTTCCATTCGTCTTCTTCTTCTTCTTCTTCAGAATCTTCTCCAACACTTTCATCCACACATCTTGTGTCGGCTAAACTGGGCGAATCATCTGTAAAGAAAAAAAATAAAAAAAGCAATGAACAACTGGATTTTGTGAATTGGATCAAATTTCAGCATGACTTTTTTACTTATGACTACAATAAAGATCAATTCAAGACACCGATCTACATTCAGGGTGGCAACTCAAAAGTTCAAACGTAATTCCCTTAAATTTCCTGTACTAAATTTCCAGGTTCAAATTTTATGCAGGTTTCGATTAAACTGGCTATAATTTAATTTTGAGCTACGACCTACTAATGAAGAAGTACTTTTTTACTATTGTAATTGAGTGATGAATAGTTAAAATGAAGTGAAAATAACTGCTTCCAAAACTCATTCACTCCAGTCCGCAGAGAACTTTTTAACTTTGTGTTGTTGACTCTCTGAAAAGTGAACGAAGGCAAGCAGTGTGAGTCGCTTTTCCGTGAGCGACTGAATGTTTTTGATCGACATGTGGATAGAGAAAAGTATTGAATTGTGTGACCTGGCGCTATCGCAATCAGCCTGAACAATTAAGAATTTTACGCTATAGTTACAACCATGTTGGTAAATTAAAATATGCCAAATCTATAGCCAAATCAACTGTTGCGAATAAAAAATAAAAAATAACCTCAATTGATAAGAAAATAGTCACAGGATTCCTCCAATCCAGTGAATTTGATTTCTATAATTCCCGGTTTTAAATATTCAGATAAAAACGAAAGTTTCAATCATTTTTTTAGTATGTGAAAACATGAAAATTTTCGAAGTTATTTATGTGTATATATTCAGCAGCTAAACTACAGCCCTATGAAACAAAAATATTTGAAGTAAATTTAAACGTTTTCTGACCCCAAAAATAAACTAGGTTGATTTCAAATGTATTCCATGTTAGAAGTCGTGACATCGATGTTTAAAATAAAAATAATGTCACGTTTATTTAAAAAATATATATTCGTATTGAAAATAAACGTGCATGTTTTTGGTTTACAAAAAAAAAATGTTTACTTTAAACATGCTTTTCATTTTTGTTAAAAGCATCGTCGGGTTTATTTTGAACGTACTATGTTTTTAAAACAAACATATTCTGAAATTATTTTAGTTTTCGAATGCAAATAAAAGTGCACGATAAGGTTGTATACATATTTTACAATCTAAAACTATGCGTTGAAAAGATTTGGCTTTATTTTTCGAAAATGCACCAAAGTAAATTATACCTTAAAGCCTAGTTGCCTTCCTAAGCAGACATCCCGGTTCCTATTCTTACCACGAGGCCAGTCTAAAACAGTTTTTTTTTTTTCTTTATCGCCTTATTACCATGAAAGTACCATATTTGACGCACTTTTGTACTATGCCCGCACTCTGACAAGTATTTCACAGAATAGCTTCCAATAATCAACCACTAATATTTTATTAGCACTCAACTTTTACATTCACCACAAAAAACTGTTGATAGCCTTTTTTGGCCTGCAGTATATGGCGAAATAAAAATTACTTCGATCAAATGCGTCAAAATGCTTCTGCCTTAACAAAGAAGCTAAGAAGTTGGTTGATCAGTTTTTATCGAATTTTGTGGTAAAAGTCAATTTTGAATAGTAAAATCGTCTTTAACTGGAAGAACATTAGCTTCTACGATGTTCCGGTACTATTAAAGCAAATTTGTAGTACTTTTGAAAGGTTATATTAGATATGATATTTGTGTCAGATAAGGCTCATAGTGTTCCTAACTATTTGCAGTCCAATATATACAATTCGGAAGGAAAAAAAAAATCATAAGAAAATTTATTAGCAACTGGATTAGCTGTAGGGGAACTTTATTTATCATGTTCCAATTCCTTAAAGTTGTTTTATCTCTTCGGGCAGCAGGGCAAGCCTATCCCATTCACTTAAAGGTCGAAAGGAACCTAAATCAACTAAACTGTATAAGTAGTCTTGTTTTTTCTTTGTTCTATTACTCGATATTTGTATCTGTCGAAGATCCATTCCATATCGAGTTGTGAAGAGTTCGAGTATTCAAACATAATTGGTATCTGTACATCAATTTCCGGGGTTATGATAATACATTTTTGGTTGTGGATATACCTTTTTTAATAGGATTCGGACTTATGAGATATGCGGGGTTATGTTTTTTCAACATCAACAGACTCTTTGTAGCCTCAATGATGAATTAAATTTAAAATTAAAAGCGGAGCAACAAATAAAAAAAACATAAATTTCAATGTTTACTGACACGAACAATCATTCACGGTTCACATAACCACAAAAATGAAGAGAAACGTCTCCCTAGCATCTGTCATGGCAGGTGAAAATCAAATAACGAAGAGCCTCGATTAAACAATCGCTGCAGTGGCGCCGGTGGTGTAGTGGTAAGCGTGATTACCTCTCACCCCAGCAGGCCTGGATTCAATCCCAGTCGTCGCCACCGGGATGTTCTGAGGCATAACATCTCTGATCACGCCTTCCTTCGGGAAGTAAAGCCGTTGGTCCCCGGTTCATAAGTTGATGGGTCGATAGGTAGGGTCCAGATGTGGGAGCTGCCTTCCTGGCGTCGGTAGCATTGGTGCTAAGCACGGAAAAAAAAATCAATCACTGCAGCCCACCTATAGCACCGTTCATGCCGTAGTTTGTGCGATGAAGTGACTATCTCTATATAACATTGTTACGCAGCGCTCAGTGTTGGACGTTGATGTTAATTTGCTCCAAGATTGCGGTGCAGTCAACTATACCTTGTAATGTGTCCGCGACGAGCAGCCCTAATAAAAATTACCATAAGCGAACGATAACCCAAATGATTGAACTATTCCACAAATGGTTTGGATGAACACGTCGTTAAGCAAATTACCCATAACATTTTTATTAGGGAGGGCCTTTCAATTATCTCTTGTAGTTCAGAGAGGCTCCAGATCGATCAACTGGCAGCGACTTTCATAGCTAGGCAAGTGAAACGGGTAGGTTCCTCAGAGCGAATCGAAGAAAATGTCGTTGAACGAACTCAACTTACTCCAGACGCCAGGCTCCAGACCACAGCACAGTATTCCAGAATGTATCGCACCAGGTAACAGAACAGTGCAGTGACTTGGGGCAATAGATGTCCGAGAAATTCTTTGCAATCCTGAAGATAAAGCCCCATTTTCTTGACGCCTTGTCAACAACGTACGAGATGTGTTGCTTGTACGTAAGCGGAGAATCTAGAATGACTCACAGATCTATTACATGGCTCACAAGTTCGATCCTTGTGCCCCGTATATCATATATCAGGCATAACATTTGATAACGGCATAAAAGCATTTGTAAACAAACTTTCTAAGGCCCTTTACACGTGAACCAAAGTACGCCCACGCATAGCAACATCATCGGCTAGGGGCATTTATCACCTTTCCGAAAATAGTATTGGTTTGCGTGGGCGTACTTTGGTTCGCGTGTAAAGGGCCTTAGAAAGTTTGTTTACAAATGCTTTTCTGCCGTTATCAAATATTATGCCTGATATAACCAGTTCCTTCTTTCGAGTAAAATTGATCACTGAACACTTCGTTGCACCAGCTGGTAAAGGCTTCAAACGGAGATGGAACTGACAATCATCAAGCGAGCAAGTAAATTTTAAGTTCATCTGTCGTGCACCTTCGATCAGTGAGACATGAGCGAAACCATCGCAAGAGGTTACCCCGCTAACCCAATATTTATGCAACTTGTCAATTACGATGACATGATTTATCATATCGAAGGCTGCTGACAAAGTGACAAGTCGGTGTGAATGAAGTGGCAAGATAATTTCTGAGTTTTTTCCGGTTTTCTTGGTTTCATCTATAAAAATTCCTAGTTTTCGAACAAAGCTTTAGATCTATCAGTTTTGCAGATTTTCTATAATTCTTCTACACGAGAGAAATGTCGAAGTATATTTATATATATATGTATGTATTTAGTGAAATACTTCAAATAACATGCTTCGTATGCATACTAAACTGGTTTGAAAAAAAAATTAAGTAAAATAATTATTCCATTAAGTTAAGGGTATTCGCTAACTAAAATGCATATTATGTGTCAAACCAAACAATACACAATATTTAAAATACATCAGTGCTCATCCGGTTCATGTCAACAAATTTAAATTAAATTTTGACAGATAAATATCCATTAACTGAGTATTTGTTTCAGTCCAACGTTTTTCACTTAGCTAACGTCTACTGTAATCAAGCGGCTTAAGGCCAATTTATTGACCTCCGCCCAAGCCTTAATCCTGGTTTAACTAAATGGGTACGTTGGTCCTTAGCGATATTGGCATTTATATGTCATTAACACTCCGAACACGAAGCCTTCGGTAAAATCATTGCTATCATTGCATGTTAGGAACTTGTATGTTTTGATAGGAGCACTGCTCAATCGCTGTCGGTTTTTAATTGTTTTAGTCTATTCATAGACACTTCACTAAAGTTATTCGTGTACCTCTGTAAACTCTAGTTTTGTGAATTTACGTGGAAAGTGAAAATCAGTTGATTCGTGTTGCCTTTATTTAGTTTTACCGTATATTTGGTGTTGTGATATTTGCCAGTCATGCATAGAATTTTCTGTTTGTTGTGCTAGTGGTGTTGCAAAAACCACCTTTCGATCGTACGTCTAACATTCGACGTGCCCTTCTACATCTGTATTCAGTAATCAGCTTATTGGGCATTTCAAGCGTAAAGAGCATTAATTCCGTTCAACGAAATGACCAGTACAAGTGCGTGCGACCGCTGTGCCAAACAGTGAAACCGGATAAAGACCACATCGAATGTATGGGGTTCAGCGACCCACCCGAGCAAAGTCCAGCATCAAATTGACAGCAAATTAAAATCAAGTTTTGATATCAACATCAACATCAATTGACAAATTTGATACCTACTATAATTTTGTTTTCATTTTGCTGTACATTTGCTCTTCAAAAAATGTTGTTGCGAGGTTGTTTTCATGGCCTTAGCATAACATCAAATTGAATATGTACTTGTTTTGTTATTAACAGGAAAAATGGATATCAAATTTAGTTTTCAGTTTTCTCTC